TCGGTGAACAACGTGAATCCATCTGGACACCGATGCAAATGAAAAGTTAAATGAAATGAACGTTCGTCTATGCACACGTACATTTTTTGTTGTTGTTTTCGATTCGATTCGTTCGTTCGTTTTTTTCTCTCGTTGTTTTCCAATAATTTTGCGTTCGACCACGCAACACGAAGGGCTGTTGGAATGCGCGTGAAAAACCACGCCAACAAATCAATCAGATATTCGAAAATGTCAGGAAAAAAAAATGAGAGTAAACAAATGAATTGGTTCGTATATTTTTTTTTGTTTCGTACAGATTCGGTGCGTAATTTTCGTTCGATATTTGTTGTGGTTTTCAGTTTTAGTTATGAGTTTTTGGGGGTTGGTTTAATGATGCGCTTGGGGTGTTCAAGTTTCGCGCGAAACGGCAACATCTTAAAATCATCGCGGCGAGATAATTTAATCAAAGTTCTACGAACTTGAAGGTATTGGATGTTATTAAGGAAAGTTGATTGATTTAAGGGCTCAGAAGTCAGATGGGCTGAGCTTCTGATGTATTATATGTTTGTGTTTTATGTGTTCCATCCTTTATTGTAGTCTAATGACAGTTAAACTGTCAGCTGCATTCAAGGTCTACCTAATATTTTTCCTAAGATGTCAGACGTATCAACCTTTATTGAAATCCAATGACAGTTATAATGACAGCTCAATTTTCACTATACATAATATAGTACAAACATGCCCAAATGTTTAACAGGTGTCTTTATTGTAGTCCAATGACAGTTAGATGACAGGTATATTCACATTAAATATTTGTCAAGTGTACCAACTTTTAATAAACTACACTGATAGTGTAATTTTGGATCCACACTGTCACGTGTTCGAAGCTCTTTATTGACAGTTAAAATGACAGTTGCATCCACACTGTCTCTAATATGATACAAAAATATTTGTCAGGTGTACCAATCTTCATTGTAGTCCAATGACAGTTAAAATAATAGCTGAATGACAAGTGCATCTACACTGTCTAATATGATAATACATTGTTGTCAGATGTAGCAGTGTTGATAGAAGTCCGATGACAGTTAAAATGACGATGTGCCACCCTTTATTGAAATATATTGACTGTTAAACTGATAGCTGCAATTATGAATTATACTGCCACGTCTACAGAATAGTTTATGCTCCTTAGATGCATTAATAATTTATTTTAAGTACTCTAAACTTATTAAGTAATTAATGCAACTGTTTTGAAAGTACTTAGAAAAATCCATGTTCTTTATAAGGGCGAGTCCGAAGAGAGTAGTTATGAAACCAACTATAAAATTATAATCACTACTCACATCTTGTAAACTATGCTTTTCACACACTACAAATGAACTTTACTTAATTTTTTAGGATTTTTTTATAATTTTAAACGAAGTAACAGTCAATAATCAAGCTGGAGCCATATCAAGCTAAGCCATATCAACCCTTATAATTCCAAAGGATTGTAACGGTAAGCGCGTTAACAGCATTCGTGTGATTTATGAAAACGCAACTCATTTTATGACAATAAACCAAAACAAATTTAAAAAAATACTAAGCTTATTAAGAGATTTGTTTATTTTTTTTAATTTACAAAAGTTACAGAGACTCAATTGAGACTCTTTTTTAAAGTCTTTGAATAATATTGGAAAATTACAAAATGTAATTAGTATTAATAAAGTTAAGATTTTAGTTTTATAGAACTTTTGATTGATCATTCAAACTCATATTATTCTTATGTTAAATTAGAATCAATTTATTTATCAATAAATAAAAATAATAGAAAGTAGGTGTATTGTGTACGAACCTTTATAGTTTTTATTTGAATATCTGTAATTATACAGTTGATACAAAATGAAAGATTTTGTGTGTATTAAAATACATAATAAGCTCTACTTGACAAGTATAAAGTCAATATACTTGTTAAGTACAGCTTATTATGTATGATATACACTTACTTGAAAACTACTTGTAGTTACGTAACTTAAGACAATGCGTACAGCATTTTTATAATAACTCAATGAAATTATGATTTAGAGGAAATTTTATTATGACTTATGTCCATAAAATATTTATATTTTCTCATTTACTTCTATAAGAAAAATATATTTTTTAGTAAATTATTATACCATATTAATTATATATATAAAATTCTAGGGTTTTCAAGGAAATTAATGTATGTTCTCACATAATAATCCCTAATATATTTTTTTTAATTGAAGATTCTTAATTGTAACAAAAGAAAGTTAATAATACAAATTTTTACAAAATATTTATTATGACGTTCAGATTTAAATTCTCGTCTTCGAGTTTTCCGCCTTTAAACACAATGTCCGTTCATCTGCATAATAATATCTCCTACTTAATTTATTTCTGCAATTTCTGCCAGTGTATATAATGTCTTTTTAGTTCGTTAATTAACAGTATTCATTTTATATAAAGGTTTCTAATTACATAGCGTATAGCCTATAGACTTAGTAGCAGTCGCATTAATTAATTATAATTAAGTTTTAGTTCGAGTTCGGGCGATGGGCGATGGGCGCGATGCGAAAGGGTGGAAGAGTAGGATGAGGTGGAGGCGGCAGCGGCGATGGCGGAAAACGGGGGTGGTTCTCCTCCGCCCGACGAAAACCCTCAATCCTCCCTCCTTTTCCACAGCCCGCACCCCTCTTCGCTTTTGCTGGGGACTTGTAGAACGTGATGTGCATTTTGATCGCTACAGATATTATGCAGATCGCTACCAAACTTTACTCCCTGCACATATTTTAAACCAATATATATTATATATAACGTATATACATACAAATATAGTGAGTGTAGGTTGGTATTATTTGTTGTTTGGTCTCAAACCTGAATCTATCCTATCCATCTCCTCTCATCCACTTCTATCCTCAGGACTACTCAACTCGCAGCGTATTATGGCATGTGCGTGTCTCCCGTCACTAAAATTTCACTATTTGCACTTTAGCACTATTCATGCCCACTAACATACCTCCAACCTACGGTTGCATTATTTTAATCTTTATTTATCTTCGCTCGCATCTACCACACTAAATCTCATTTTAATAGTTTCCAAAGCCATGTACATTATTATCGCGGCGATATGCAACGGCAAACATTATCTATTTTATTTCTGAAAACTCCCTGAATAATAAGTCTATTTGCGGCGGTGCTCAGGCTAAATTTGCATTAATATTCGCATTTTTATTCGTAACGGTTAATTTTCGTCCTCGACCCCAAAACCCTCTACATTCGATTATTGTTTGTTTGCTACATGCAACTTTGGTTTAACTCAAATTAAACTATTACAAAGTCTCGAGTATAATACGCATACTTTTTTACTGATTTAAAGTATTTGTAACTTAAATTAATATGATAATTTGACTATTTTAAAATCTCGAGTATAATACGTATAACTTGAACTCGTTTCAGAAACTGAGGTGCGTATTATACTCATGAATTTTTGTATACCAAAATTCAACAATCAATAAGTATTGTACTTCTTTGAACTTGACTTAGATTATCAAATTTAACTATAGTAAAAGCTCGAATAAAATACGTACAATTTTAATAAATGCGTATTATACTCGTGTATTGATGCGTGCTGATATCTTAAACTTTGAAATTATAGTTTATTATCTTCAAATTTAAAAACTAAGTTGCGTATTATACTCGAGTATTGCAGCTTGCTAACATCTTGCTATTGGACTTGTCTCAGCTCAGATAATCTAAATTCAACGACAGTAAAATCTCGAGTATAATACGTACAATTTTAATAAAAGCAGAGGCGTATTATACTCGAGTATTGATGCGTGCTGATACCTTAAACTTGAAAATTATAGTTTATTATCTTCAAATTTAAAAATTATGGTGCGTATTATACTCGAATATTGCAGCTTGCATTTACATAATGCTATTGCTGTTGTTCGACTTGTCTCAGCTCAGATTATCAATTTTTAACAACATTAAAATCTCGTGTATAATACGCACAATTTAAAATAAATAGAGATGAGAACATCTTATTACATACTTTAATATGATAGTTTGATTATCTTAACATCTCGCAATTTTTTTACTGATTTAAAAACAGGTACTTATTATACTAGAGTATTGTTGCTTCTCCACATCTTGTCAAATTAATGAATATGGATCATGATCAGTTTATCAAATTTAGTTATAGTAAAATCTGGAGATGCTTGTGTATTGACGCTTGTGAACAACTTGTCATAACAATTAATATATATTCTGTTCTTGCTCGACTCGACCAAAGTTACTGAATGTAATTATAGTAAAATCTCGAGTATAATATGCACTCTTTTTTTAAAGGGAATTGAAATATCAATTAGAATGCGCATAATTTGTACTCATAAAAAATAACGAGGTTGCGTATTATACTCGGGTGCGCAAGAAAAGTCATTATCAATATTAGAAATGTTACTTTATTTTTTATTAACATTACGTTCTGATAATCAGTATTGAGTGTAATTTATAATTAAAAAACGGTGCGTATTATATACGAATTTTAAATTTAATTTTCTTTATTTTCTTTTATAGGATATGCGCTTTTATTAATTTAAAAACCAATAATATTTTGTTGCGTATTATACACAAACATAATACTTAATTCATAATTCGATAATTTAAGATGCGCACTATACACGAAACACAGATGATAATAAAAAAAATCACTGAAAAAGACCATAAAGTTACATTAATGCAAGAAAAATAAGTAGATTAATAATGTTTTTCGATTTACTACGGAAAAGATATTATAAATATTTTATAAATTCAATATTCTAAAATATGTAAAACCAATTAAATCGATCTTTCCACCCAATGCAAGTACGTAATCTAATATTTATATATTGATTACCATTAGTCATTAACACATTAATTTACTTAAATATAATTTTAAATCATTAATTGCATAAATAAATAGATATTATAGTTATTCGTATAGGTTTTGTGTATTAATTATTTTGTATTATTTTCAGGTAAGCAACGAATTCATCAACAATCAACGTTACGTAAGTGAAAACAAAAATAAGTAAATATTGTTTCATGTAAACAAAGTAAATAGGAAATTATGCTTCGCTTGGATAATTCTTAATTCAACACGATTTACTTCAAAGATAATTATAAAATCAACAGAGATAACAACGTCTTTGTACATTTTCTTAACAGATGTTTATGTAAAGAAAAAAATGTTTTGTTTATTATAATAAATAGAATGGTAATTAAATGTATTATCATTAAAATAATGAAATGAGAAAAAAAAAATTCTCTTAAATTAAACGTATTAAAACGTTACGTAATTGTTGTAATTGTATATTAAATATTTTAATAGATCTGTTAATAATGATAAATGTATATCGTATTCGCCTGTCGTTGCAATACAATGCGAGCAAGAAAATAAATATATTACACTAATTATGTCTCGCTCAAAGACATGAAACGTTACGGCATTAAGAAAAGGAAATGCATTAGCCGATGTCACGGCATGAAATATGGTCGTGGCCTTGGCTCTGGAATTAGAAATATGATCGCTTTACATTGTTCTTATTTCAATGCAATTATTGTTCATTTAACAGTTTAACATTTTCCTGTTTGCATAACATCTTGAAATAATTAATATCGCGAAATGCGAAGGTCGACAGTTTAAAGCCGGATATTCAATACGTGATACTTGTCAAGTTATTTATACTGTTGTTACTTGTATTAATACATGTACTGTCATATGACGAGTAATGTATAGTATTTGTAAAATAATGTGTTACTTGACAAGTAATGGACAAGTAAATTGAAGTAATGATCGATTGTTTAAAATCGATACGCGTACCGTGTTAAGATATGAAGACTACACGCACTTTGGATGTTATACGCAATACTTGACAATTAATGGACAAGTAAATTTATGAACTTAGCTTCTTGAAATGATTAATATTGAGAACGTGAATATCAATTGTTCAAAATCAGAGGATTCTCAAGATGAGATACTTGACAAGTTACTTATACTTTTGTTACTTGTATTAATACATATACTGTCGTTTATTAAGTAATGTATAGATTATTTTACAAGCTATTGTTGTCATGATTACTATACAATAATATACGCAATACTTGACAAGTAATGGACAAGTAAATTGACAAGTATATCTTGAAAAAAATAATATTCTTGAAGATCAATTGTTTAAAATTGGAGGATATTCAATACGCGATACTTAACAAGTTATTTAAACTTTTGCTTCTTGAACTAATACATACACTATCATTTTATCAAAAAAAAAGTATTTGGAACACAAACTATTTTTGTTATGAAGACTACACGCATATATATTGATTTAATACGCAATACTTGACAAGTAATTAATATCAAGTTACTGGAACTTTTACTGCTTATATTAATACATGTACTATCGTCTAATGAGGAATGAATAGTACTTGTAAAATTAACTATAATTGTCATGGAGACTACTCGGAATTCAGATATATTATGCGATATTGACAAGTAGACACGCACATTTGGAAATATTAATCAAATCTAATGGTAAGTAAAACATGAATAAGACGATTATTTTAACGTATTTGTTAGTCAAATATTGACCAAAAGGCTATTACATACTTAGCCTTTTAAATATTTTACATACTTAAGATTATACCATTTTGCAAATATTAACATATAGAACAAAATTTTAAGTAATTAATGAAAAATTTTGATTTTCAATATTTTTTTAAAAATTTTTCAGATTTTTTTTTTAATTGTCACTAGTCCAGTTCACTGGAAAATATATTTTCTTTATAATTGTTTATTAATAATTTATTCATAATTTTATGTTAAGTAATTATTGACATATTAGAACTTTTATGAAAACTTTCTTTTGATTAATGAATATGAAAATATATTTAATTGAAGCCTTTGGGCTCACTTGACGTATTAGAACCTTAAAAATTGATTTTTTTTAAATACTAATTACTTAAAGTGGAGTGAGCACAACACTTCAATATCATGAATAACATAATTACATAAAAACTACTGCTTTTACATATTACTACATGTTACAAAAAATTAAATGTGCTTCAAATGCAACTTTTTTTTTGAATAAATATGCACCCGAAGTACTTAAAAAATATAAATGGTCAAGGATAATATTCACTTTTTTAATAATGGGATTATAGGACTTTGTATCACATTTAAAGAACAAATTTGTTAACGCTTATTATAAAAATATACTCTCAAAATCATAAAATGGTATCGATAGTTTCATATAAAAATAAATTTATAAACAGAGATAGTTTGATGGAAAAGTTCGATGTTGAACTTTCGGCTGAACGTTGAAAATCTGGCGGAATTTAATTTTTAAATCCAATTAAATAGTGTAACAAAACATGCATCGATCCGTTTCTGATAAATTCGCTTTAATTAGCCGGAGAGTAAGTAGGAGGAGGAGGAGGCGGCGATCGCAGGAGGTGGCGGATTGCCGCCGTTGCGGGTGAGAGAGAAGGATGTGGAGGGAAGGCCGAGTTCGGGGGCATTACTAATTAAAAACTAGTTGAAGCTAATTTCAAGTTTCTCAAGTTGTTCATTGTTTTAATGAAATAATCTGGAAGCCCGTATCGATTGTCCACGTGTATGGAAAATACGGTGCGCCGATTCGAAAACGGAAAAGACGAAGGGCTGAAAAAAAAAATAGTGGTGTGTATATGGATGTGATGTGAATCACAGAAAGAGAGAGAGAGAGAAGGGTTGAAGGGTGAAAAGGATTGTGAAAGGGGGTGGTGAGGCGGACTATGCAAATCAAATTAAATAATTAGCCCTAATGGCATTAAAACGCGTCAAGTCTTGCAGAAATCGCGCGCTCTCGATGTGCACACGCAAATTCACGTGAATAAAAAGTGTGTGTGTGTGTGTGTGCGACACGATAGGCGGAGGCGGTAAAAAAATGGCAGCAGAAAAAATAATAATTTGTAGGAGGTGAAAAAAAATTTTTTTTTTTTCGATGCGAGAATCCAATAATATTGTACGTGTATATTACTTGGGAACGATGGGGCGGCGAATTCGCTCGCATCGCAACCCCCGTCAACCGAACAACATCACCATCCCCCGTCCTCGCCGCTTGCGACGTACACCGACCGAGTGTTTAGCGAGCGGAGTGCTTATTAAACTTAAAAACAAAGGATTTTTTTAATTAAACACATGGTCTCGGTTTCACACATCAATTGCGATCCATTTAAACAGGGTTGCATGTTCTCTATAATTAAATTGATACGAGACATTGCAAATACATTTGATATTTGCAGTTATACACACACAAAACCACCCTTTCTCTCTCACTCTCTTTCCAACACTAGGAAACAAGCATTTTTCCATCCTTGTTTAACACACACACATTTTTAGTTTCGTTCGTAAATTCGAATACTTTACATTTTAGTTTAGTATTTCCAACGAATACATACATATACACGACCATTGTACATTTTAAATTAAATTCTATACTCTGGTGTTTTATTTATTTATCCTCTCTTTCTCTTTTTTTCTTTTTAATTTATAATTTCCATCCCTTATTTTTTAAATGTTTTATTTTTTTCCACACTTGTCCGGAAAGTTCTTGTCGATATTAGTTAAAAAATAAAACGTGTCATTTGAGCACCTTTTAAAATCATTAGATGTTAAAAATACTTCGGCAGGAACTTCTTTAATTTTGTCTTTAATTCTTCCATCATCTTTTGCATTCAATTTTTAACATTATCTTCGTCGACATTTTTTAAAACTATTCATTGAGCCATATGGATTTCTAATTTCTTGGATGTAATTTTTTGGCAAATTTTGTCGAAGAAGAATTGTCGATGTGCTCAAATTGGATTATATGTTATGTTAAAAGGGGCTCCAAATTAAGAATTTCGTTATATCGGAGCTTCGTTAAAAGAGGTATGACTGTATTTACATTTTCAGTAGTATTTTGCACATCTCTACATTACAAGCCTTGCGCATTCATAGGGCTAATCACATGTTATTGGCTTGTCAGGAAAGTTCTGATTTTCGCTAAGTACCATTGGCTATGCCTAAATATATCAGAATTGTAAAAAGTGGGAATTCAACCGTCTTTAGAAAAAAGTTTAATTTGGATCAAATGATTCGTGTACTTTGATACTTTTCTATTCATGTAAAGCCAAAAATGCAATAACTAAAGCAATAACTAACATATATTCTGCTTACTTAGAAATGGCTAAATTAATTTTAGAAACATAATTCTCTAAGTTTAAAGCTAATGATTTCAGCCTTAAAGATGTGCTAGTACTAATGATGATATCAAGACATATGATCTAGAATAACCCGCTCTAGACAACGCGTGAATGAGATGTTAAAAGTATCAAAAACAACTATTGATGAACGTTTTTAAAGCTTTCTTACAAACATATAAGATATATGAGTTTTGCTCAATTTAACTCAATGTTGTATTAGAATTCACCAGACAAAGCACTTTCCCATTTCCACAAATTTGAATCTTTGCAAAATTCCATAAACTGCAAAATGATTAATTTTTAATCGACATAATAAAACCAGTTTTTTTTTGTCGAAAAACGTAATAAATTCTGGGAGCATGTAATGTTTAAGTTGCGTGAAAGGTGAAGAAAGGTCTATAGATCAAAAATTGTCAAAAAACTTATATATTTATATATAAAAGTTTTGATTTTTGAAACTTTCCGGACAACCCAATATTTGCATTTACGTCGGATGTGCAGTGGTAATGATCGCGAATGTTCAATTATTCGGGGAAAAGTCCTGCGTACATTTTTGTTTTGGAAAATTATTATTGTCGTTCTGTTTCGATTCCGGCGGTGGTCGGAAGCGGCGCTCCCGCCCGAAAACATCCATTTGACGACCGCAGCATCTATTATTTAGGATAATTACATAATGCGGCCACCTATCATTACGAGAACTTCCAAGAATTTCAATTTGACAATTACGCTCATTTCTATATAGATTTACTTTTATTTTGTAATTTGTCTTCTAGCCGCCAATTTCACT